CACAACTCCGGCGCCTTCTTTGCAGGCGCAGCCCCAGCCCCCGGGCCGGGCCGGGCCGGGGCAGCAGCGGGCACCATGCCCCAGCTGCCGGGCGGCGGCGGCGGCGGGGGGGACCCGGAGCTGTGCGCCACGGACGAGATGATCCCGTTCAAGGACGAGGGCGACCCGCAGAAGGAGAAGATCTTCGCCGAGATCAGCCACCCCGAGGAGGAGGGCGACCTGGCCGACATCAAGTCCTCCCTCGTCCACGAGTCCGAGATCATCCCCAGCGGCGCCGGGCACGAGGTCAGAGGGGGCGCGCGTCCCGCGCAGGCTCCTCTCCCCACAGCGGGGGCTTGGGGGCGCGCGCTGTTTGGAGCCTGCCTTGCGCGGGTATTTGGGTGCAAAAGAGCGCCCCCTGGCGCGCAGCTCCCGCGGGGATGGGGAGGCGGCGTGAGGGGAGCCCCGGCCCGGGTCTGCCTGGACAGGGCACAGAGGGTGAGGCAGGGCTAATGCAGTTGGTCCAATAAAAGAGATCACATAGCCCTGTCTGAGGATGAGGCAGGGAACTTCGGTGGTGCAGAGGGACCTGCCTAGGGTGCCCATCATAGGGGACAGTATGGTTGTCCCCTCTGCCCTCTCTCCATACGAAACCTGATGCCCTTATGTCCTCTATTTTTCTCTTGAAGGCATCCAGGTTCGTATTATCCAGAGGGCAGCGTAGCAGAAAACCGGAATGGCCTCTCTGATAGCCACCCGACCTGCCTCTGGAGAGGCAAGAGCCAGAGGCTGCCCCTTGGTAGGGGGCAGCATGGCTTTGGCAGCCAGTTGCCCCAGGGCTAGAAGGGGAGGCAAGTCCCAACTTGGGGCTTAGTGATGCTTCTGCTGCTTTGGAGGCTGCTTGGCTTGGCTGGGGCAGGGGAGACTTGTCTCCTTGCCAGCCCCCTTTCCCCATTGTGCCCCAGTGGCTGGGGCAGACTGCAGCCAAGGGGCACTTGAGTAGGAGGAGGCAGAAGCACAGGGTTGAGCTGAGCAGGTGTGGGTTTGAAATCATCACTAGCTGGGGCTACTGCACCGCCTAGCAGCAGGGTGTGGGACCTTCTTGTTGGGTACACACGCTGCCCAGTCTCCAGAAGGTTTCTTCCGAGCAGCCCCAGTGACAGTAGAGCATCCTTTCCTTCTGTTTTAGGCAGAGGAAAGGTAGCTGGTGGCTTCTGCTCTTCTTTCCAGTAAGTTTCTCAATTTCAGGATGCCCCAGTCAAGCCTACCTGCATGGCAAAACAACCAACTGCAGACACGCGCGTCTGTCTTTCCAAATAAAGTTTTGAAATGTAAACTCTTAAGACATCCATGCAAGCTGGTGAATGTCCGGAGGATGCTCTTCCCCTTCCTACATGGGCACTCACAGCCCAGGACAAATAAGTTCCTGTGAATCACAGGATCATCTAATAGCATTAGACCTACAGTCCGTGTGAAATTCTTTGGAAAAATCGGTGAGGTCAGCTGATGAGTCCCAAACTCTTGAAAGGATTTGCATAAATTGTTTGGTAACAATTTATCAACACAAAAACAACCAAAGGCTGGAATTTTTCAAAATGCTATAATGAAGGCACTTGGTTTCATTTTTCCTTTTTGCATTACTCTAGCAAGACCATTTTGACCAGGGAAGCCGGAAATATTCTCAGTGGTTAGCCTTTTTAGGAGGGCTACAGCTGTAGGACTTCTTGTGCTACAATTGGTTTTCCAAACTACATCATTATTAAAGCTGTAAAAAAAAATTTAAAAAATCCTTTCAACAGGAATGAGGTGGAAGGAGGAGAACAGGGCCAAACTGCAGATGACTTAAACTGCTTAACAGTAACTTTGATCCTTTTGTAAATCCAGTGCTTCAGTGAACAGCTGTGCATAAAAATCACATTTTTTTTTTCTTTTTCTCTCTCTTTCTCTTGTGGTGGATTCTGTGTGAGTAGGTTTCCAGGCAAGCACAAGCCCAGGAATCGTACCATGATAAAAGCCGAGAACTTCCTGAAGAAGGTGAGAAACGTCAAGTTGTTTTGCACTCTACATTGCAACCTTTTCTTTTCCACGTTAACAAGGAACTCGGATGGAATATAATTCAGCTTCTTATTGCGCATTAATTGAGTTATGATTGTGTAAATGATCTCTGTAATGAAAAGAATGCAAATATATCTTCACAGCTTAGAAAAGTGAGGTAAATGCACACCAAATCTAACTTAAGTAGCCAAAGGGCATTTCGGCTGTTGGCCAACTGATATTGGTAGGCAAGCAGATCCTTTGCCAAGAAAATAATTATTTTTAGAATATCTGTTTGTAGGTAATATTTTCCATATCTCCCCTCGCTTGCTTGATAACCCTGCTGAGCTATGCATGCTAAGAAACTGTATACTCAATTTCTAAACACATCTGTCACTTTAACATACGCAGTTTCGTTTTTGTTTCAACTAGTTGATGTTTTGATGTATACGTGAATCCTAATTCGGGAGGATGGGAGAAAACCACGTATATTTCAGTTTAGGAAGCTGGATGAAAATGCAGGAATGTCTTCCACAGTATCATAATGTTTAGTTCATAACTTTTAATATTCATTAGAATTGTAATATGAGTTCGAGGAAAAAATTCAGCTTTTCTTCAGTCCTGATATCCACTAATAGACTTAATTTAAACTGGATATTTAACAGATTAAAAAAATGGAACATTCTTTGTGCACTGAATAGACCCCAACAGTCAGCAGGGTATCCTACATTATCCTGAACTCCTTTGCTTTAATTTGCTTCTGGTTAACATGACCAGGGTGAACTGCTGGTGTACTATGTATATTGGACTTGAGAAAGAAGTGATCTGTGTAGCTTGGATGCTGCCTTTTTCAGTCAGTTACACAGGACAGTCCCTAGAAGAATGCATTGCAAAATCTCCAAATCCTATGGATGCCTTAAAAATGGAGCATTATGTTTTAAATATCAGTTGCTGATATTGCTATTTGAACATATTGGCAAAGTAGACATGTTACCCTGAACTCAATAAGTGCATTCCCAAGAAATGCCTGTATTAGGCCCAAGTCTTACGAGAGTAAATACTGATAGGCATACAGTACAAATAATGCTAAGGTTCCCAGCAATATGCTACTTTAATAATAATAAGACAGACAACCCTATTCCACTTTCCCCCAAATCTCCAAACTAGCCTTGTGTGTACAGAATACTTCCATGAATGCACAGTGCCTATATAAATTTTCTGATCTGCATAAAAAAAACCTAAGTGGTAAGGTAATATACCGGTAACCCTCTTTTTCTCTGCTTTCACAGGAAAACACCCAGACAGCAGTTTATACAGCAAGGGCCCATCATACTCCGGTTATTCTGGGTATATCATGATGCCAAATATGAATAACGACCCATACATGTCTAATGGCTCTCTGTCGCCACCCATCCCTAGAACAGTGAGTTACCTATTATGCAAATTGCCTTGGGGGAGAGAAATTTTCTTCCTGTTCAAGACTGTATTTTGAATTATTATGAATAGTACACGTCTATTCCTTAGGTTCTGTGTAACTGGCTGTCTGAACTTCTTAGCCATCTTGATTGGAATGATAGTGGAAACATTTAATTTGCCATGAACAAGGCTGAAAATATAGTCTGGATGTTACATTATAATGTGTGGCTGAATGGCCTAAATGCTACTTTTATGGTAACTCTGGGAAGAAGCACTACTAGACTGGTTTTAGTTCTCTCAGATTGTACTGAAATATAAAAATCTGATGGATGTTTCTTCCTTTACTCGGTTTGTCATGTTCAATCTTAGCTGATTTTTTTTGTTCTCTTCCTAACATAGACTGCTTGTATAAAGCTGTCATATCTCTGAGAGTGGATATTACTTGGAAATACAACATAGAAATGATGCGAGAGAGTGTATGGGAAACAGTTGCCGATGCTGAGTTAGAATAATTATATAATGCAAGGTTGTGGCTGTAGCTTTTTGTATTTGTTGCATCAAGAGGAGAACCATTGAATCTGACTCTTAAAATTACTAATTTGTTCTGGTTGGTGTAGAAGTGCACTGGAAGAATAGTAAATATGCTGAATAGTAGATTTCCATTGTTCTTGTAAATCAGTGGGAACAACCTCAGTAAAACTTCTGGGATTTTAAAAATCTAGCTGTGGAAATTGCACTAGAAGTATTGTCTTGGGGAAAGCAGAACTTACAGTGCCTCCTGTTGTAGAATGACACCGCCATTGTATTCCATAATTTTAGAAAAGAATGCTCATTGGCGGTAGCTATTTTCTAAGTGACTAAAATGAAGAGCTAGTAAGAAGGAAAAGCTGTCTGTGGCAAACTCTTTCTAGCAACCGGTTTTATTTTTGCTTTCTTACATCTTTTAACGTAAGCTTTTTTTTTTTTTCTTGTTTGTGGGTGGGGTGGAAATTACCAATACAGATTTCTAAATTTAACAGTAACAACATTTATACTGCAAACCTGGAGAAAGTTTTGTCCAAACAAAGGTTTCCTGAATACAGAATGACTCAATAGATTCTGAAACATAGCAAATGTTTCTGTTTTATATGTAACACTCCAACCTGAATGCTTTATTTGTATGATATATCTCAGACAAACAAACTTGAAAAATATTGTTTTTAGGGCTTTCCTGCTTTAAAAAAATCTGCCTTGAATAAAAAATGGTTAGTCAATTTTATTTCATTTTAGAGATATCCATACCTTTCTTTCAAAAAAACCAACCAAACAAACAAAAACCTGTATCCCAAATCGTCCTTTTTACATATGCCTTATGTTGAAAAGCATTTAAAATAACAAATAACCTGACAGATTAAATTGTAATTCCTACTTGCTGATAAAAATGATATAATCCTTTTCAGTATGTAAAGACATTTATATCTGTGTCTCCTGGAAGATAAGGAATCCAGTAACCAGTCCCTTTTTTCCCCACCCTCACAAAAATGTATGAATGGAAGAACTGGAATAAGAAATGTGATTTAATGATTAGAGAATATAAAATATCAAACCCTGCCCATAAATGTGTTGTTGTAAACCAGCAGTTCTTAGGTAGTACACAAGGGCCACATCTTTGCTGTTAGCTGATCAACTTAACACATCTATTTTTCCTATCTTCTATTTGAGAAATATTTGAATATCTAGTGTGGAGAGGGAATGCCTCTGCTTTCTAATTGTATTATTGCTTGCCTAACACTTTAGGGATTAATTTAGTGGAGTGTGACTCTGGCATGTTAGAGCAGTACCAGTATTTCTGTAAAACAGTGTTCTTATAACACACCAAATGTTGATGTAAGTCTGGAGAACTTTCAGTTTAACCACAAGTCTACATGCTTGAGTTGTTTAATAATTTTCTGTTTAATTGAACTATAATCTTTGCTAGTCTTCATACTTGACAGCTGGTTTTTAATGTGTGCGAGATCAAAACTTTGCACCCAGAAGATTATATACTTGCTTACTTCACCTTTAACCACAACCAAGGTGGCATGTTATGTCTTCCCTCATGTTCACCTCTGCTCTGTACCTTTTGTTAGGCTTCAAACTGTCACCCATTCAAGGGTGGCTTTTGGGGGGGGGGCGGGATGTTGTTTGTTTACTTGTTTCCTTTCAGAAGAAAAGACTGTTAAAACAGATAAGGTTTGAGAGACCCAACACTCAGCAGAGGTGTTGATCTCTGACCATTTGTGGGTGGAATAGCCTTGTGGTATACCTGAGATTCTTCATTTGCATTACAAAGCCACTGCTTGTTTGTTGCATCTGTTACTTGGAGATGTTAGGATTCAAAGCCATCTTGAGGCACTATTTTTTTTAACATTGTATGAAAATTCTGAATGATTTATTCCCATACAAATAATCCAATAAATATCAATGCTTTTGAATTTGAAGGGTACTACGTGGTGGCCTTTCATAATTAATGCCATCTTATTTTGGTATTTGAGAAGCAAAATCTAAAGGGAAGCATGAATTTTATAGGAAGGGGATATAAACTTTAGGCCCTGTGCCAGCAAATAAATACTATAACTCTGGGTGGATGGGTAATCCTACAGATCTGCTTATATGAGCAGAGTTGTGCACCATGAATCTGCAAGACTGGTTCATCAATTCAAACTTTTCTTCTACAGATCCTTCTACGAGAGCAATATATAGTGTCCTGAACTCAAGAAACAGGGGAACACAGGTGTTATTCCATGATGGGTTCTTAATGAACAGTTTGAATTGAGAGAGGAGATTGCTGCTGCTAGTCACACATGGGCTGGGTGGAAAAAAATTGTAGTTGAGACATGAAAAATTTCAGTAGGTGGAAAAAAATACTTTAAAGGGTGGGTGTATTTATTTTTTTTCTCCAGATGCATTGGTTCTCTAAAGTTCTGCCAATCATACTCTTATCTTGGATTTGACTTCACAACAAATCTAGTTTACCTACTGAATCCTGGAAGAAGAAAGCTAAAGTGTAATATGTTAAAACTGATGCAGACCTTTCTTGGCATAAAGAGATGAAATTCAAATTTCCATGAATAAGTTAAGGTTAGACTGGTCCCTTTTTAGCCCCAGCCTGATAACTGATTTTTCCACTTACTATTTGAAACAAAATGAGATACGAGCTCTTGTACAACGCTAGCACCACAGCAAAGAAGCCACTATAACAGTACATGTTTCTTATCAGATAGCTGGGTAGGCAGAAGAGCAGAGAAGTTCGTTTAGGTAACTGCAGCACAATGGTATCAAAACCACAATAACACCTGGTGAATGTAAGCCCTGTGGGCTTGAGTTCTCGCATGGTGGTTTGTCTGATGCATAGAGTGGGTGTCTACCATGGGAGAAGCAGACAGCTGTTGTGTATTTTGTCCCCCCCGCTTTCTTTTTTAACCCTTTGTGTGAGATTTTAATTTTAGATTGTAAAGGTTTTTACACCAAAGACTATCTTTTTTTGTATTTCTTAAACTCCTCCAAAATGAGCTTGCATTACTAAGCCATTAAATGCATCTCTTTCCTTGGGATTAGATTTTTTTTAATATGTATTTTAGTATATAGAATTTCTTCAACACCTCCCCTACTCCCTCTTGCATACATGCCCAACAGAAGGTATCATCCTTTTCTTAATGGCTAAAATGTCTTCAGATAGCAACTGAAATTATTAACAAGAGTTGGATATGCTCCACCATGGACAGTGTATGTGGACTTCCATAGTGGAACATAAGGTCAAATAGAAGGGGGATTCTAATATGGGAAGGAATTTTTAAAAATATGCCCCATGTTCAGACCTGACTGTGATATACAAATACATGCAGGGACAGTTCCTGCTTGGAAGAGTTTGCATCCCAAGAAAAGCCAAATTGTGTAAAAGAGTAGAGGGAAGGACAAAAAGAAAAATAACAGTAAAAAGTAGTATTTGTGTTTTGGTTGATGGAATCTGTCCTTCGGAAAAACTAGATGGAAGATTTGGTTATGGTGCAGTTACAGAAGTCTCGTTCCTGCATATTCTGACTCGGAGACTTTACTCAGTTAAACTCAAAATGTTCACACCTTGTGTTGATAAACTCTCACACTTTAGGAATTCAAGTACTGTTATTACATGTGTAAATATTGAAATTATTGGGAGGCTGGATGGTCGCTGCTTTGACTTGGGCTGGCTACATTGGATATAAGCTTTGCTGCATGTAAGAAAGTTTGGTCTTAGTTTCAGCTCCCGTATCACTTATCACCAAGCTTTGCATTTTCTTTCATATTTGACTCCGAGGCCAAGAACTATCAAGGCTGTATGCATGCTTCTACTCTTTTTCTTTTCTTTTCTTTTCTTTTCTTTTCTTTTCTTTTCTTATTGCTGCATGGGTAAATGGAGGACTTTAAACATGGCTGTTAGGTTAATCTCTTACCAGTTTTGGAGTGCCACAGTCCACTTATTTTAGAAAAAGTTTAGAGTTATGCAGATTAGTTCACTAAGTAACTTCCATAAACTCACATGTGGATCTGTAGAAAACGTTATGACAATCTTGGCATTTCCCTGGTATAGTCTTGATAGGACTAAAGTGGGATCCTTTTAAAGAGCAATTAAACAGAAGAGCCTGATTTTTTTTTTAAAGCTGTTTGTTAATGAATATCCACCCTGAAGGGAGAAATGAGGTTATTTCCATCACTAATAAGTAAACAGTATTCTTTCAAACCTTTCTGTCTGCTGATCTGAGGTGAGCATCAGTCTGAGATATGAGGAGGTTCTTTAAAACACAGAAGCAAGCCACAGAAGTTGAAGGGGTTTTCAATTAAACACAGTGTTTGTTGAGATAGAATCAAAGGTACCTGAACACTTCCAGTTTGGTCCTCTTCCAAAGATCTAATCTAGTTGTTGTGCCAGTGGAGAATGAGGCTGATATGGGATGTTATGTAGGTCCTGTGTATATGTAGTGTCTGTTAGCTGTCAGTTCCTCACTCGGGTAT